CTGGCAGTTTTCCCGCCAAGAATTTTCATGGGTCCGTATTTGGAAATAACCCATAGCTGGAACTGAATTTAAAATCTTTAAGTTCTACGTGGACGGGGAACATTCGTTCAAAATTTCAACTTTCCAGTTCTCGGATTAGCAGTTTTCTTTCATAAACGTTCACGAGCTCATACGTGAGAACCGCACACACCTGGAGGCTGAATTTGAAATCTTGAACTTCTACGGAGGCGGGAAACATCCTCTTAAAACCCTAGCTTTTCTGGTTCCCGAGTTGGCGATTTTCCCGCCAGAACTTCCACACACTCGTGCGTGCGGCCTAGATGTGAGTGAAAGTTGGTACCGCGGTCCTGGGGTCGCACTAGACCGGGAAACCCAATAGCAAAATTTTAGCGCCGGCGCTTGATTGGTTGCCGAGTTGAAATGCCCGGACAGATACACACACATATGCGCACAAGCACACATACAAACATACATACCATGGGCCATCGCAATATGCGTTTTTGCATTTGTAGATGTGCAAAAAGTAAATTACATAACATTCGAGAATATCTCACAGTAGTATTTATGCGTCTTTTGCAGCTATGCAACGCGGAAAACGCATACTGACGAAAGGTTGTCTGTGTGTGTGTGTGTGTTTGTCTGTGTGTGCACCTGTCACGGTTTTTCATCTCAAGACCTGCAAAAGCTACAGGGCTGAGACTTTGGGAACATAATCTACATGCACGTACGGGCCTCAATCCCCAAAATAGGTGCCATTACCCGCGTGGTACTTATGTACAGGCTTGCCGAAGTTTTTTCGGGTAAGTTAACTCGAGAATCATAAATGCTTGGGGGCTGAAATTTTAAGGGGATGTTTCCCGTTCACGTAAGTCTCAACGAGGTCAAGCCCAGACATTGAGTATGCGTGATATCTACGTACGGGCCCGTGAAAGTTTTTTTTCAGTAAGTTGCTAACTCAGAGTCAGGAAAGCTAGAAAGCTGAAATTTTACGAGGGTGTTCCCTGACAATTCTGGCAGCCAGTCTTAATTTGTGTAGCTAGAAGCATTTGCCGAAAAAACCGGCCTCAGTATCGACAAAAACTGCGGGAAACTATGCAAAAAACGCGTCTTCGCGCGGGCAGCCCGTGCGTTGGCCAATTATTTTTTTTTAAAGAAATATTTACTATGAACAAACGGAGCATAAGTAGCAAAAATATATCTAGATTCTATATTCTAGGCTTTTTATGCGTTTTTATAAGAACCAAAAGCGCACAGTGAAAGAACTTTGTCTGCGTCCATATGTATATTTGTGAAGTTGTGTGTGCTTGCAAAAGACAAGAATGCCAAAATTTGTGAGTGTAATTCCCAACAATACAACAGGGCTAAGAATCTTTGGCTAAATCTTCCTGTACCTGAACTCATGAATTCAGATCCGTGTGTTTCGGCTAATTATTTGGCCAGCCAAAATGCAGAATCAGTGCAAAATTCAATTGTAGGCTTAAGTTATTAGTCAAAATATAATATTTTTGTAAAATAAATTCTCAGACTCTATTTTGCCCTAATTGTGGATTTAAGCTTAAATTCAGGCTAGTGCTGTAATTCTAGACCCAATAAGCAAGAAGTAGAAATTTTTGTCTTTGATTACAGGGAAAATACAGTATTAAAAGCAAAAATCAGTTCCTGAATATTTTTGTATCCTAAATATTTATGTCAGGATAAAATTCATGCTAATTATACGCTTTGCGTTGCTGTTACACAGCAATTCCCAATAACATAGCAAATCTAAGAGCAGTAGGCTAAATCTT